AGGGAGCCACTCTGATCCCTGGTCACGTTCACTTGGTGTGTGCTGGTGAAAATGCTGCCGCACTGCAGCCTCCTCTGTGTTTGAGAGGGACGATGAGAGGAGGGCCGCACACCCAAGTCCATCCTGTGAGCCTAGGTGCTGCCTGGGAACTTCCAGCTACTGCGGAACTTTGGAAGGTGGCTGATGCCATGAAGGGTGAGGGTGGGGGCCCCATGGGCCAGTCCTGCTGGACTCCTCCCCTTTTAAACTCCTATGTGTATGTTTGATTTGATCTGCAAGTCTCTTCTTTGCAATGGTTTTTTTGCATCAGGGTGTGTCCCTCCCTCCCTTCCAATTTCCTGTGTCTTTAGTTGCTCTCTGAGTCTCTCCGTCCTCCATCCAGGTGTGTTGCTCCAGTTTTCACTTCTTCTTCTTCTTTTTGATACTGGGGATTGAACTCAAGACCTTGCACTTAGGAGGCAGGTACGGTGCCACTGAGCTAAATCTCTGGCCCCAGTTTTCACTTCTTCATTCAAGAGACCCAAAATCTTGGTTATGGGAGAAAAAGCACCACATGTTGGTCACTGATTCAGAGTATATACAACCTTCTGGAAAACGTGGACTCAGAAACAGATGGGCAAATACCACCCAGCTGTTGCTGTAACTGTCTTCTAGAGGCCATTCCATTGCTCCGTCAAGCCAGCGGCTTCAGGGAAGGGGGAAGATGGTGAATCTGGTGCCATTCTGCCTAACTTCACTCTGTGAAGTGAGCTCCCTAATCAGAACAGTACTGTGCCAAATACCATGATGATGGAAGAGGTGTTATTTTAAAAGTTTGCTGAGGGTAATTTTGCCAGAAACATTTGTATGGGGAAGGCAAATCTGTGTTCAAAGGGAGGCTGAGACAGATTACATAATACCACTTCCACTTGACGATGATGAATTGCTGTGTGTCCCCAGCTTCCTTGCTCAGTGGTGAGACAACCCTTGGTGCGTGCTGGCAGCTGAGCTTCCATGGTAACTTGGGAATGATGTGGTTAAATGTTCGTTCTCTATGAAGGTCCAGTGGCAGGCCAAAAGTTCTCAAGAGCAGAGTAGTTTTGTGCAGGCTATTGTAGGGCTTTGTTTCAAAACTCTGAGTGCTGCTTCTGTGATTCACATATGAAGGCCCTCTGGAGGCTGAAGACAGTGTCCCATCTGTCACCACAATAAGGCACCCTTTCGTCTGTTGAATTGTATGACTCAAGTGGCGGAACAGCCTGCACAGCAGCCTGGACCTGATGCACATCTTTCTCTCACTCTGGGCTCCACTCATGGGAACAGCTCAGTGGGTCTCCTGGTCAGTGGAGAAACAGAACAGGATAGGTTACCTTGAAACCAAACAGAATAGGTTACCTCGAAAATCCAATTAAGCCCACTGGCTGCTGTGTCTCTTTTGGGGTTGTAGTGTAGGGAAAGGTGGCTCCTAGGCAGGGAAGGGATAGGATAAAAGCCTTATTTAAGCTGTATTAAAAAGTAACTGGGGGCTGGGGATTTAACTCAGTGGTTCTGTTGCCTGTTTTGAAAGTGCAAGGACCCAAGTTCAATCCCTAATACTAAAAAAAAAAAGAAAAAAAAACGTAACACTAATCTTACTGAAAGGAGCTTTTAACTCTACAGTTAGACTCTACAGTTTGAGCAATTAGAAAGAAAAGGTAGGAATGGAAAGAGAAACCAGATCTGTAAAGGCTCCAGGTAACACAAATGCCATAAGAATTTATCAGAAAGCATTAACAAAGCACGGAGGAAGCCAAAAACCAGGGTAACCAGCCCCCCTCATTTACCTCTGATAAAATACAAAGGAGACAAAGGACAGCCAGCCTGGGACTCTTACTTAATATATAAAAGACACACACCTGTACATGTATACATACATATATTCTCATTTTAGCATCACTGTATTACTACACCAGGTGCATACATGTCTCATTCATTCAGTCATTAACTCTGAAGCTTCCTTTCTATAAGCTTCCTCCCGCAACAGTTATCTATCACAAAAGGGCAGAAAACAAATGAAGTGGCCAGAAGGAATGCAGAGAGGTGCCCAGGTTAGCGTTAAGACAGCCGGAGAGCAAATCAGATTGTGACAACTTCCAGATGGGAGGAGTCAGTCCTAAATAAAAAGCCAAGGACAAGGGGTTGGGATATTCGCCTTTCCAGTGCCCCCTATTCTTCTAGAGTAGTAATCTTCTCTTTTCTACCCTTTTCTAAATAAACCGTCTTTATTTTATTATTTATTTATTTTTATTTATTGATTGATTGATTGCAGTACCGGGGATCAAACTCAGGACCTTGCACTTGTGAGGCAGGCTCAGTGCCACTGAGCTAAATCCCCAGCCTTGAAGCATCTGTATTTTAAAGTCTGACTTTTTAATTCTTAATTGGTACTGAGAGTTTACAGTCCTGGTGGCTGTGTGTTCCGGTGGAGCAGCAGGGAGTACACACTACTGACCCAACAGTACGAGGAACCTGAGGCCAGAACTTATCCATCAGTTTAAGAAGGAATATCTCCACAGGCCCATAGCACTAGACCCATAACTTTCACTGAAATTGAAGGCACCAGGGTTCTTGTCATATTTATTTCCCACTCTGATGTAAAAATGTGTTACCTATAAATGTAAAGCAGTTGTTACTTGTTGCTCACTAGGTGAATCAGCATAATTTTACCAGTGCAATAAACCAGTGTAATATGTTATAGAAAGAAGCAGTATCAGGTTCTTGGAAACTAAAATACTCTTCTTTATATATTCTAAACATTAGTCCTTTGAGGAATAGATGTCAAGAAATTTTTCCCATTTTGTAGGCTGCCTCCACTCCATTAGTGATTTTGTTTGCTGTGCAGAAGCTTTTTAATTTGATGTGATCTCAGTAGTTGATCCTTGGTATTGTTTCTTGTGCAGCCAGGGCTCTGTTCAGAAAGTCTTTGCCTGTACCTATGTCTTCAAGAGTTTTACCCATTTTGTCTTTCAGCAGATTATTTCTGTTTTAATATTTAGATCTCAAATTCATTTGCATTTTAGTTTAGTGCATCGTGAGAGAGATGGGCCTTGGTTCAGTCTGGCATGTGGATAGCCAGTTTTCCCAGCATCATTTGGTATCCTACTAAATTTGGTGATTAGTTCTAAAAGTGTTTTGGTGGAGTTTTTGGATTCTCCTGTGTAGTGGACCATTTAATCTGAAAATAATAATTGTTTAACTTATACTTTCATATATTTTTAATTTCTTTCTCTTGTCTAATTACTCTGGATAATAGTTCAAGACCTATATTGAACAAGGGCTAGGGGTTTAGCTCAGAGCTGTTGGTTTGTCATAGATGGCTTTATAAGATTGAGGTAAAAACCTTTTTTTTTTTTTTTTTTGGTACCGGGGATTGAACTCAGGACCTTGTGCTTGCAAGCCACGTGTGGTGCCACTGAACTAAATCCTCCGCTCTAAGGTAAAGATCTTCTGTATCTGTTTTCTTCAGGCCATTATCATGAATGGATGTTTAATTTTGTCAAGTGCTTTTTTTGCATCTGTTGAGATTATTGTTTGGTTTTTATCTATGTGGTATATTATAATTTTTGATTTGGGTATGTTGAACCACCCTTCCTTGGAATGAATCCTACTTCATCACAGCATATGATCTTTTGGATGATTTGTTGCATTCTTTTTGCCAGTATCTTATTGAGGATCTTTGCCCTTGTGTTCACTAGAGATTGGCCTGTAGTTCTCTTCTTTTGATTTTGGTATCATGGTAATGCTTACTTCCAGGAATGACTTTAGGAGTATTGTTTCCTTTCCTGTTTTATTAAGGAGCCTGAGGAGTATTGGCATTAGCTTGCCTCTAAATTTCTTATCGAATTTGGCAGAAAATCCATTGGGACCTGGGTTTTTGTTGATAGTTTTTTAATTCTTCAGTTTCATTGACTGATACTTAATTATTTAGGGTTTTTCTAGCTTCTTGCTTCAGTTTTGGACATTCATATGTATCTCAGAATTTATCCATTTCTTCTGAGTTTTCCATTTCATTAGAGTGCTCATTCTCAAAGTAGTACTGGTGATCTTACAGATTTCAGCAGAAACTTTGTGATTTTAACTTTTTAATTTCGAATTGCATGGAGTTGGGTCTTATTTTTGTAAGATTGGCTGAGGCTTTGTGTATTTTGTTTTATTCTTCAAAGAACCAACTATTTGATTCATGGATTCTTTTTTAGTGGATATTTCTTGGATATTCATGGATTTTCATGGATATTTTTTTAGTCACTGTTTCTTAATTTCTGCTCTAATATTTATAATTTCCTAATTTTGGGTTTGGACTGTTTTTCTAGGACCTTGAGGAGCATCATTGGCCTATGTATTTGAGTTCACTCTGCTTTCCTGATGTGGAAATTCACCCCTATATACACTTCCCTCTTCCGACTGCTTTCACTGTTTCACTATGTTCCGTAGGTTCCAACGGGTCATACTGTCATTGTTTGATCCTCGTAACTACTTCATTAATTTCACCTGTGACCCATTGATTACTCGAGATTATATTCAATTTCCATATGTGTGCATAGTTTCTGTGTTGTCTTTTGCCATTGCTTTCTAGTTTCATTTTGATTTGATATGTGGGATAATTTTGATTCTTTTGCATTTATTTATGCATGATTTATGGGCTAGTATGTGATCTGTTTTGGAGAAAGTCCCATGTTCTGCTGAGAAGAATGTGCATTTTGTTGTTTTGGATAAAATACCCTGTAGACATCTATTAAGTCTATTTCTTTGAAGGTTTGATTCAACTCTGACTTTATTGTGAAAAATTTTTTGGTCTGGTTGATCTGTCCATTTGTGATAGTGGGGGATTGAGTTCCCCTGTTATAATTGTGTTGGTATTTATCTGATTTTTTTATGTCCATTTGTGTTTGTTTTATGGGGTTAGGTGTGCCGGTATTTGGTATGTATTCTGTATATATGTACTGTTGAATTGTTCCTTTAACCAATATGTAGAGAAAGTGGATTTCAAACCAAGACTGACAGTAGAGGAACAAAACAATTAACAATCAACAATCTGGAGGCAACTAAGTTCTCTGAGAAAAATGAGAGCTGGACGAGTTACCTATGGAACCAGCTTCTTATTAACTGGGTCTTTTTATAAAGTCTGTTGACCCAGAGTACCTGTATAATTACAAAAGCCAGAGAGGCTCCAGGCAGCACCTGACAATGGAAACAATGGAAACATCGTAGACTCTGTGTGAGGGAGATGACAGCCCCAGGTGGGCAGGGGTATTTTGAATCAAATGCCTGGGTGCCAGTTGGGTGGGCATGTGGATGGAACTCTGGTCATGATTGGCTCCTGGTAGCCAGGTGACACAGGATGCATTCCAGTTGGCAGGTGCTGGCCTAGCGCTTTCAGTTGGTTGGAGGTGGCTGAAGGAGGAAGAGCTCTGACCTGCTATCTGGCAGTGGCTTTGGCTCTTAGCACTTTAAGTAATTGGATCACAGCCCCTCAGAAGACCAGTCAACTTGGGGGTTTGGGGGAGGGTGGCCGAGGGTAGGGCCAGCCTGCTGGCCAGAGGGCAGGTGAAAGAACAGCAGTCTGCCTCTGCATTGCTGAGCTGCTCAAGTGGGGCCGAGCCAAGGTTCAGTGGTGCCCCATGGGGAACATTCTGACCTGTTGTGTGGCCCCCAATGCCAGCCGCAAGCCGGGCCGGCGCAAGGGGACAGTGGAGCCAGACTACGCGTCTGAGATCTATGGAGCAGTGGCTGGAGATGCAGGGGCACAAGCACCTGCCTCCCAGGAGACCGAGGAGTTTCTCATGGGAACCAGGGATGGCTGCCACCTGCACCACATCAGTGACCGGGAGATGCCCCAAGGTAAGGAGGTGGGGAGAAGCTCTAACTTTCTGACCCCCTGGGGCCATGGGGGCTCCTGGCTCCTTTGTGCCAGGAGCTGGCTTTCTCGGGGCTGGGCACTTGTGGCAGGAGTTTCAGGCCGACTGTGCCTCGCTTTCCCACACTTATTCCTTCCCTGTCCTGCGAGGCCAGTGTCTTTCCCTCTCTACCCTGACACCCAGTTCTTGGCCCCTTTTTTTCCCAAGTCCCATTCTGGTTCCTTCACGTTAAGAAGTCCTGTGAGACTTTATTGAGACTTTTTGGTATATTTGCTCCCTTTTCTCAAAATTCAAATATGCCAGTATTGGAGCATCCATCCCATCTCTCTGTGCTTACCTGGATTGGTACCCAAGTGAAGGAGACAGGTAAGACAGGTAAGACCAAATTCTTCCCTTCCTCACACCAGGCAGGGATACTCTAGCAGTTCAGACCCAAATCCTTGAGGATGTCTTATGTAAATTCAAGTAGAGGTTGCCATAGGAGTTTATATGGTATTCTTGTGTTACCTCTGTAGAAGCTGATTATTCTTCCAAGTGTAATTTGAGCATAGAGAGAAAGATGATTTTGGGAAGGGGCCTTTAAAAAGCTGAGAAAGATGTTAAATAGGCAGAAAAGTTTTCTTTTCTTTTTTCTTTTTTTTTTTCTTTTTGGCCAAAGGAGTTTACTCGTAGAGTTCTGGTTACTTCATGTTTCCCACTTTGACAAATATGTCTCCTGCCATGCTTCAGTCACTTAAAGGATTTGGTTTATCTTGCCTGTTCTAAAGGAGAGGTGAGGCAGCTCATAAGATCATGAAATTGTTGGTCTAAAGTTTTAAAAGAGAAAATAGGACTTTAGCGTTCAATTAGGAAGGTAAAGATTTGGGAGTTGAGGTGCCAGGCCCTGCCAGCCCTGGAGCGTTTGTTGCCACCCCTTCTCCTTTCCTCCCCCTCCTGCCAGTAGACCCTGCTCAACTGCTAAGAATGTTTCAGTGAAAGGAAACTGCTGTAGAGAGGAGACAAAATGTTTGATTTTTGCCCCTAAAATTTTGGAAAGGAATCCGTGTAGGTAAAGATAATTGTGGGTAACAAGTTGATTCCTGAAGACTCTTTCTTTCCTTTTTGAAGTGCTGGGGATTGTACACAAGGCCTTTGTACCTAGCTCTAGCCCTAACCCTTTAAAAAAATGTATTTTGAGACAAGGTCTCTGCATCACTTAGTTTCCCAGGCTGGGCTTCAACTTGGAGCTGGGCTTACAGGGCATCACTGAGTCCTGTGAATTGGAAAGCATCATGTCAGAAGAAGTATGAGTCTTGTTTTTTTTTTTTTTTTACTTTTTGAGACAGGGTCTCACTATGTAGTTGAGACTGACCTGGAGCTCACTATGTATCCCAGGCTGGTTTTGAACTCACAGTGATCCTCCTGCCTCAGCCTCCTGAGTGCTGGGATTACAGGCATGTGCTACCACACCTGGCAAGATTATCAGTCCACTCATTTCATTTCAGTGGCAGATTTTCTTTCATTGCTACACAGGAAATGTCTTTTTTTTGTTTTTTGGTACCGAGGATGGAACTCGCCAACTTGTGCTTATGAGGCAGGTGCAGTGCCACTGACCTAAATCCCTGGCCCTAGGAAATGTCTTCTAGTCTTCATGTTAAGTTTAGCCAGGCTCTCAGTTTCTCTGATAGGCTAATTAAGCTGCTTGATAAACAGGCCTTTGTAGCTTTTCAGAAAATTGAAAAAATCATTAAAGAATGAATAAATACATGAACTATACCTTTAAACACAAAGGATGTAAGTATTTGTGAAAAGTGACTCTTTGCTTGGTGGTGTAAAGTAAGCCCCTGATTGATTTTATAAAAAAATTACTAGAGCTGTAATACATTGCAAACATGTACTAATAAAAAAGGGGAAGGGGCTGGGGATCTAGCTCAGTGGTTCCACTGCCTGCCTTGCAAGTGCAAGGACTCGAGTTTGATCTCTGGTACAAAAAAAAGGGTTGGGGGAAGCCCAAAATAGGATGTTTTCATAATTCTTTATGCTTTACAACACGTTCTCATATGTTGAACATCTCATTGGGCCCTTCGAAATACAAAGGAAGCCTGTGTATAGTCTCTATTAATTAAGAGACAAAGGTAGGAAAGGACTGTATAAGAGCTCTGGCTGCCTCCTAGCTCAGACCGATATAGAAGTGGTACATATGCCAAATTCAGTTCTTGAAAGAAAGCTTTTGAGAATGTGTCCTATATTTCATGCATAACGTAGACCTTTCTCTTAGAACTGTCTTTCCTAGATTCATTTATGTGTGTGTACAAAGCAGAGGCAACAGTTACCTCTGTGCCATGTGTGTACATTCATTGTGATGGATAAGAGCAAAAGTAAAGTGACAGATGGTCTCAGCTTACTAGGGAAGCCGGTGAGCTCGTTCTGGGACCTGAGCTGTTGGTGAGAACGCTGGGGACAGTGGAATGTAGGAGAAGCTGGCAAGAGGGCAGCGAGGGGAGGGAAATGATAGTCAGTGCTAAGCGTGAGGTACTGAAAAATACTCTGGGCGCAGTCTCTTGTCATATGTTTATTGACACGAGGGTTAAGTTTTTATTTCCATTTGTCTTTTGAAATTGAATGTTTAGGGCCAGGGAGGTAGCTCACGGGTGGGCGCTGCTGTAGCGTGCCCAGAGCACAGGTTGGATCCCCTGCACTGCAGGGAGAGTAAAATTTTGGCATTCACTAAAGTAATGAGAGTCCTTAGCTTCAGTATTTGGTTATGATTCTTAAATTTGCGTAGAAAGCAGTGCCAAAACACCAAGCATACAGTATAGACATTGTCTTTATTTCAGATAATTTCCCAGAAACTGCAAAATGTCCATTTAAATATTAAAAATTTAGCTCTTCTACAATATAGAGTTGGATTTTAATTTTTTTGATAAAAATGATACATAAACTATGCTTTCTCAGTCATTTCAAAATATTTTTCAAGTAATTAGAGGGATATTCCTAACAACCTGATGGGAATTTCTGATACCTTCAAAAGTATTTTCTTCTACTTTGCCTTCAGGAAGTTAGGTTGGAGCATAATTTATTCATTGTATTTTATGAGTAAGTTTTATAGTAAAATCATACACAATTCCATTGTTTCTGGTGACAAAGATGAAAATATTTTGGTTACTGATGAATTGTACCTTCCTCCAACGGAATTGAGAAGTCATATTTTTTCTTATAACTTAAGTCCATAGGATGAATTATTTTGTATTTAAGGTATTTTATTTTATTTTTTGGTACTGGGAATTGAACTCAGGGCCTTGTGTTTGCAAGGCAGTCATGGTGCCCCTGAGCTAAATCCCCAGCTGTAGAATTAAAATTAGTGATTCAAGCTCATGTTAAACCTGGAAGCCCCATATTATGTGTGTGCAGGATTCTAACCATATTACTGGGAGGGGACAAAAGAAAGAGTCTTAAGTAGAAAGATATGTGAAGTGATGAGTTAGATGGTAGTCACTAGTAGTCATTCTCTTTTAATATATTGGTATGCATTTTGATTTTGCCAGGGTGAGGGCTGTGTGATTGGAATTTGACCCTTGAACTCCCTTTTTAACATGTGGTCAAGAAAATATTGCTTTACCTCTGTTACATCTGATCTCGTGAGCTTCTCACAAGCTTGGTTAAGTAGCTTGAGACCCATGAGGAGGGCCACAGCTGCCCGTGTGATGACTTTTATTGTGTCATATCATGGCACAGTTTGTAGTACAAAGGTTTAAGACTTTGTTTTATAGTGTTTACTAAGTGGACACTTCTCTCAGCTTGGTTCCAAGAATCAAAAGTGTGTGGAAATTGAGACAAAGTTTTAAAAAAAATGAGTTTCAATCCAGAAAGTGTTTGTAGATTAGGACATTGCATTTTTAAGCAGTCTTAAATCTGCCATGGTGAATAGCCACCAAATAGCACAGCTAACAAAAGTAGTTTACTTGTTCATTGCAGCTGGAATTAACCATGTGATTGATTGTAGAGAATGTTTGCTGTTTGAAATGTTTGTTACATTGGACTGGTCTCCAACAGTGTATCCGTGATGCCAGGGCAGTGCTCACGCTTGAAACTTCCTGCACTGTGGTGGTATCCGCACAGAATAGGGTGTTTGTATTTCTGTTGGATTAGTAGGACAGGGGAGGAAGGCATATTTGATTCACCTAAAATTTGCTTTAGATCATTTAGGTGCAAATTTAGAAAAATAAACCCAAGACCTAGCCTATTTCATTCCATAGGTGTAGAGAGATTCTACAGTTGTACAGTTTCCCAGAATTCTTATATGCTTGTCTGTATTTCTTTCCTATTCATAACTAAAAACCTTCCCAACACTACTAAACATGATCAAAGGTGTGTAGCTGTTTTGAAGACCATCTACTTTCCTACTGAACTAAATCATCACATCCTTTCCTTTTCCTCTGTAGGTGCAGCTCTGGAATCAAACCCTTCTGACCTTCCAAGTGCAAGGACAATTTTCCTGAACAAATTTCAAGCATATGGTAAGATGCTACTTCTCCCCATCAAAGATAAGACTGAAAACCATTGCTATTTTGTGATATATTGCAGACATTATTTAGAAGAACTCATACATTGGTTTTCATGTTTCAACTTTCCGTATGTTCACTTTACTTTTACTACATGGTTATACATTTTCTTTTAAATGTCACTGTTTGTTTTTTTGTTTTTTGTTTGATACTGGGGATCGAACTCGGGACCTTGAGCTTGCGAGCCAGGTGGCGGCACCACTGAGTCAAATCCCCAGCCCTAAATGTCACTTTTTGATTAAGAGTATGTGGCTTTCTTTTAAGATGCTTCGGCACTTCTTTGTCAGTACAGTAGACCACATAAGACGTGGTCATGGATTTATACTTATTTTTACACACTCTTTTGGAGCTTTTCTCTAACTCCACAGAGGAGATTTTAAAGAGAAGTGATAGGATTAGGTTATCATACCAACAAATTAAAAAAATTATGTATTATATGCATATGTGTGGGAGGGGAGAGAGGGAGAGATTGATCATCTCTTTGACTTCCTTCCCCATAGCGCCCTTATCAAGTGAGGATGCCTCACACCACATTTATGATTTATGGTGTTCTCAGAAACTTCCAGCTATTCAAAACTTTTTTACCCTAATGTCAAAATCAGTGCAGAGGTGCCCCTCTGATGTTTCCTAGAAGGATAGCCAGGGTGTGCAACTAGTGTAAATTTTTTGTGTCCTATTTGCTTTGGGAATCAGACATAGGAACTTTGTGCAACTCAGTTTCTTTTTCTTAATGTTTGGTCAGTTCTTTTTCTGTTAAAAAAACATACATGACCAAAATTTTAGTTGATTTCAATGGTAAAAATTTAAGGAAGGTAGGTTCTACACTACTTGGAGAAATGCAGTACAATGAAAAATATTTTTGACTTGCATTTCCACTGGTGTGCAATTTTCCTTTCCTGATTTGGTCATTTCTGGTTAGCATTTCTGTGTTTCTCCATTTCTTTCATTTCTGTAGGAGCTGTGGGTCTCTCTCTCCCAGGTGGAGCATAGCAAGCCCTGGGAGCTGTCCGGTGCTCCTCTCTCTGGGGGAGAGGAATGTGCCTGAAGCGGTGCCTAGTGTTAGAGGAGAAGGCCGTGGGGAAACACTGTGGCCCATGTTGGTCTTGGAGCATTTGCTTTGTTAGAGCAAAATGAACCTGTGTGCTGCTGACACTGTGTTCAGTTAGATTAGCACACTCATTTCAAGCCCAATATTTAAGGCGGATTATTTCACAGTTGTTTAAAGACCCACTAATTTTTTAGTAACGTATTTTTAGCACAGTATCTTTGTAGACTCTCAGTAGGTGTTCCAAGATGCTTCCAGGAGTTCTAGTGCAGCAAGAGGTCACTGCCTAGCTGGAAACTGATTCTCAGAGCTGTCTGCTGTTAGATGCTTGTAATTAAGCTGTATGGCAATGTACAATGATGAAATACTGCTTATTTACTCGGGAAAGTCTGAACAGCGGTTGAGATTTGCAATAAGTTAATTTTTTTAAATTAGCTAAGTTTCTCACCTGGTCCAGTTTGTTTTATAGTTTTCTTTCAGATAAGGAGAGTCTGTCATCATTTTAGGTTAAAAAGAAGGTATAACTAAGTTTTTGGTTCTTAGTTTATGGAATTCATCTTGGTGGATGATTTATTTTAAAAAATAAAACAGATTTTGATCTGGGGATTTTGCTCAGTGGTTCCACCACCTGCCTCACAAGCATGAGGACCTGAGTTCAATACCTGGTACCAAAAACAAAAAACAAACAAACAAACAGAAAACCACCAACCAACCAAACAAACAGACAAAAAACCAAAACAAAATACCCAGATGTTTATTTCATTTGTATATTTGTAATCCATCAGATAATTAGTAGCCACTTCTGTGTACTTTTCTAAGGCATTTGTATCAGAATGGATCAGTTAGTTTATTTCTTTTGTTTTGTTCTTAGTGCATGATCAGAAGGAGAGCACCTATTTCAACCATGTAAGTAAATAATTTGAAAGATAAGAAACTAGGAATGAATCAAAGTATGTCTGCCATGATTTCTAAAAAAATATAATGAGGAGTTAGTCTGCTACCACGGACTTCTTTTTCTGTGTTTTTGTAAATCTTTTATTTAATTAATTATTTTTTTTGATACCAGGGATCGAACTCAGGACCTTACACTTGTGAAGCAGGTGGTGGAACCACTGAGCTAAATCCCCAGCCCCTGTAAATCTTTTATATTTTCCTACAATGTTTTAAATCTACTCAGGAAAGTCGTTGACTTAATAATTTCCATTTTAAGTGTTTTTCATATTTAAGTTCCATTGCAGTAATATGGATATAGAGTTAAAGATCTACCTGAAATATTTCCCTTAATTTATTTTGTCTTAAAAAAAATAGTAAACTATTTGTTTGTTTATTTATTTTGGTACTGGGGATCAAACTCGAGACCAGGCAGGTGTGGCCCCACTGAGCTAAATCCAAGTCCTAAGTAAACTATTTAATACATCACTTGTTAGCACTGACATTGTTTTTCTGTCATTAATAGGTGAATGTTTAGCTTCCTCTTTCTACCATGACCTTATTCTCCTCCATTTCCTTGAAATGTATCATATTTTTTAGATTAAATAACGTGTTTACATTGTGACTATTATTCACTGCTGAGTTATGCAATTGTAGTCCCATTGTGCTGCCTCTTTGTACACCTTTAATTCTTTCTCTTAAATATTTCTGAAGTCTGAGCAGTTCTGTACTTCTCCTGGATGACCCCCTTCCCTAAGCGACATTAGTTCACAAAGCCAAGTACAATAACCAACCCCAGCTGGTCTTTCTGCTTTCACATTCTTCCTTTTTGCGTGGGAGTGGGGCATCAATTTCCTATTTTCAGTTGAACAGTGTTCTTAACACTTATCCCCCATTTTATAACATTTTCCACATGCTTATCAGGATATTTTCCTTGTCCTAAAACATAGCTGTTTCATTTTTCTTTCCTACCTTAGTAAGGCTGGCTTTCCCTTAGTTCTGCTGCCTTGATCTTTCTCTGGGCCGTCTCCTTGAAGTCCTCTGGTTTTCGCATAACTGCTGTCTTGTGTTGGATCCTCACTGTCCTGGATTCTTTTGTTTCCTGTCTTGATGCACACCTCTGTGTTACTGGAGCACATATTCCTGGGAAAGGGCATAGGGTTGATTTTAAAAATCTAGCCCATAAGGAAAACTTCCTATTTAATAGAGCATAGACTTGCAGGTCAAAGCTAATTTTCACAATGCTTTTCTCATTTCTAGTGCTGCTCTTAACTCTGTTGCCACCCTATTATATGCATTATAAATATCTAGTTCTAGCCACCTCCCCAGAAGCTTTTAGTATCTTCTCTATCTCTGGGATGCTAGAAGAACACAGTATTGTTATTGACTTTTTCATCTTATTGGGATGGCCATTAAGGTCTGCAGACCGTCTCCCTCTCTTTTAATTTTTGATATTTTCTCCAGTAGTTTTTGTAGTTTGGTTATTCAGCTGTTGTGTCTGTCAGACCAGTATTTCTTCACTAGTGTCAAATTTCCATCCCATTTTTATTTTCTATTTTCTCCTTTGGTGCTGATTATGTACTCGAGACAACTTGACTTTGTACTTTGAACCTTACATTGAAATTTTTCGAAGTTTTCATTTGCTCCTGAATTTGTAGAATTCCCACAAATTCCTTTGTCCCTGCTGCACTGACCTCTTTTGTTGGAGGCATCCCTGAAGTATGTGGCTGTCCCCAGTGTTCTTTGGTTGAAAATACTGTATGTGCACGAGACTTTTCTTAACTAATGGACCTCACTGCCAGAATTCGGCAGCAAAGCCAGCTCTTCAGTGTGGGACCCTAGTGTACTGTCTGGGGCCAGGTCTCTGGGGGCTCTCTGACTTCTTCAGAGAAGATGCTCCTGGCCTTCTACGTGGGGAGTACAGTCAAGGCAGCCTGCTTTTCAGAAACTGTTCAGTGTATAGCTTTCCCCCATCATTTTCTAGGTTTAGTCTTGACCTGCTTGATATCTCCAGGGCTGACAGGCTTAGTATCTCTGGGACATGACATCTGCATTCCACAGCAAGGGGGCCAGGTGGCTCTGGGTGCTGCAGGCTTGTCACGGTTCTTCCCTGGCTTCTGTTTCGCATTTTACTCCAAGGTGCTGTGTGCCTCCGAGTTGGGACCCTGCCGTGGATTCTGCCAGGCAAACTGGCTGGTTGTTTATGTCCCAGTCACTTTCCATAGGCAGCAGAATTGTCAAATTTGTAGGACACGGAGGAAGAAGAAGGCAGTGTGGCAGAGAGCAGGATAGATGAGGCAGAAAGGTGTTCTGATGTGTGTCTTATAGCTGAGAGAATGACGTTAATACAACAGTGCGTGGCTGAGGCTTTCCATAGGAGTGAACTGAGGGCATTCTACCGGAACATGAACTGAATGTTAAAGGCCCAAGGATGTGTTTGTCGTCTGTTGTAGATGTGAGGGGATCTTAAAGTAAAGATTCTGCGCTCTTGGTAAGGGAATAGGTGTAGGGGGACCCATGGCTCCGGCTTGTTGGTGACTGAGTAGCCCTGTAGAGTCCTTTGACTCTGAAATGTTTGTTTCATCACACTGAAACACGCACATCAGTTAATCAGTTAAGTACTAGGCTTTTGTTTGCTGTGGTAGGCTGTGCCAGTGTTACTTAAGGCACTACATTTTATTCTCGTTACTAAATAGTAGAAATGGAAAATCTCAGCTGTTTTTTATTGCTTAAGAAAAAATCTCTAAAATCTCATTTTACACTCTTTATAATATTTGCAAAGGGACTCACACTAAATGCTTGTCAGGTTTGAGGACAGGTCCCACAGCAAGGGCAGCACTTATAACCCATTACTCAGGCATCCTTGGGAGTAAAGGGCCTCCTGCAGAGCCAGATTCACAGTACTGCTCTCAGACAGTTTGTACAGTGTGAGAAACATCTGCTGGTTTGACATTTTAAGTGAGGGAAAACTCCCGCCTTTTGTGCATTTGACTTTCGCTGACATTCTCTTCTGCTTTCCTTTCCCTTCAGGTGTCTCCAGGGCAGCTTCTGAGGATGTACAGCTCCTGCTCCACGATATTTCTAGATGACAGCACACTCAGCCAGCCCAGTCGTAGGAACATGGTGCAGTGGTGAGTACAGGGGTTTGCAGAGGCCCAGGTGGATAAAACAGCCCAGCATGCTGGTGATTTCAGCCATGTGGTTATCCTCCTCCTCTTTCAGCTTCAAATACTGGGGCCAACTGTATATATTAATTTTAAGGGGCTAAATGTGACTTTTCAACTTTTGTTTTAATCTCAGACTGCATGGTAGAAGGCAATACCAGTTAGCAAATAAAGAATCCTTGGAAAAGCGTACCTCTTTATTTCATGCATCTATGTTAAACTGAGAGAGAAGAGGTGCTTTTTATTGGATGTTTCTAGAAAAAACAGTTCTATGTGAGTTACAGGCCTAAAACAGTGTTTAAGACTTAAGAAACGAAACTCAGAAGGAACAGTGTTTCCTCTGTCGGTGCCACAGTCTGTCAGCATTTGAATGCTCTCCAACTTTTGTAAGCAGCCTCAGGTTGTGGCCTGGGTGAGCAGCTCACCAGGATCATAAATGCAGTAACCTAACAAATTGAAGGTGCAAAGTTTAGAAAGCAAGATACTTTATTGGAAAGGGAGGAAATGAAGATAGAGTCAGGGCAGGGGGCTCCAGAAAGGTGGAGGACACGTGGCCTTGGTTCCCAGCTGCTTTCATTGAGTGCCAAGGACCCTTTGACCTACCTGGAACTTGCCAATGGGTCCCCTGGGTGGTCTTGGCATTAGACAGAGTCCCCCGTGCCTGTGTCATTGCCATTTCTTGGAGGAGGGGGTATGTGTAACTTCTATTTGTCCTTAACAGGGCCCTATCTCCAGGGTGGCAGCTGACTGGCTAGGAGGTGCCATATTCATGGTTAATTTTGAGTTAGTAAGGGGATGTGTGGGTCTCTGTTGTAATATAGTGGCCCTAGAGTAAATGCATATGTATATGTACATTTCTGTGTGTGTTAGTGCATAGGTGTGAATACACACTGAACAGAACTTTCCCCAGAGTTAGTCAGCCCCCTCTGCCTTCTGCTTCCCCGCGTTCTATCTGAATTGGAAAGGATGGCCTGTCTTAGCTTTGTGCACTTGGCTTTCTCTGTACTCTGCTTGTCAGCTCTTTCTCTGGCTTTTGGTGCAAGTTCCAAGGCCATTTACTGCCTTTCTTTAGGTGTTTTTTTCTTTTCTTTACCCTTGTCCTTGAGACTGTTTTTGTGGTACCGGGGATTGAACTCGGGTCCTTGCGCTTGCAAGGCAGGCCACCGAACCGCTGAGCTAAATCGCCGGCCCTTTCCAGTAAAGTTTTAACTCCTCCTAGTAAGGGTTAGCCAGAAAACCTAATGAGCCCCCTGTTTTATTTCCCTGCCTACAGACCCCTTTCCCCTGCACTGACGGGTCGCAGTCAGTGGTACACAATGAAAAGACCCTGACAGGAATCTTCAAGCTTATTAAAAAGCCAACATCAAAAGCCAGGTGCAGAGCTTCCTCACTAAACTGGGGTTGTCCAGGAACATTATTAATGTCCCTTTGGGTTACGAGTTTTGGTTTTCAGAATGTAGCTTATATTTCTTTAGAATGTTAATACTCCTATCCTTCATTTTACTTTTTCAGTCAAAAATTATAAATAGCATAAGAATTTAATTTTTTTCTCAGATGTCAGCTTTTCTTTTTAGCTAATCATCAGCACAGTGGTATCTTGGTTCACGAACTTAATTCTTTCCACAGTTCTGGTCAAAAACCAAATTGGATGAGAGCCAATCCAATTCAGTGGTTAGGTTCAGTGTTGACTTTATGGGGAAGTTTGATTTAGTTCTCATTCAATTTAGTTTGCACCAGAATCATAGAATTAAGTCTATGAATTAAGATATCACTGAAATTTCAACTTGTATTAAAAACTACAAAGTTTACATTCATGGTAATATTTTTCTTTCACACAGTAGTAATTGAGATCAAATTGTGTTTCAACAGAAACTCAGCACTGTGTCTAAGTTTTGAAATTTGGCATCTATCAAATAATTACTGAATGTTTGTACTCAGCCAACGCCCCAATCCATGTCTAAAAAGCTGCTGTGCTTTGATAGGGTTGCCAGCTTCTTTTGCATTAAAAACCTTGTGAAGGTTCAACATGTAATTCAGTGTCGAGTTTTAAAGAGTGACCTTCCTCAAATAAGTAGGATTCACACTTGTTTTCCTCCCTGTCTTAGTCTAATGTGTAGAATTTTGCTTTCTGAAGAATAGTAAATTTTAGTTGGCTTTCATCGTGTTTTGTTAAATAATCATCGTGTACACTATTTTTCAAATAAATATTTAGTAAGTAATAGGACAAGTAGGCATTTAGGAAAGCTTTAAAAATATTTACTATGGGGTAACAGTTCACTGCACACACATGCAGTTCCCCACCGCGCCTTCCCTTTGATCTGTGGTTACTCACGAGCATTAGGAAATCAGGGGTGAGGGTGAGGTGTAGTAATATACACAAAATCATTCCCAGTGATTCTGACCCGAACTCTTTTTTTAAAAAAACTTTTATTTGCATTTATTTTATGCCTAATTTATTCCTGTGCCCTAAGTTTTTGTTTCTTCAGTTTCTTCTGGGCTTTTTCTGCTGTGCTAAGACCTTCCTCCTCTGGTTTAGGAACAGTCAGGCTCACCTCAGTGTGGCCGGGGAGCTCTCGGGTATGGGTAACCGGCCGTGAGCTCTCTAAGTGCAGTGGTGCCTGTCGGGTGCATTGTCCATTGATGCGTTCAGTGACCAGAGAACCTATGTGTAAACCCTTAAGCTCAGTGTAACTCTCTGCATTTTTAAGCATGTGCAGCAAAAATTCAACACTCTTTTTGGGCCATCGGCCCTGCGTCCAGCCCCACGGTTTGGCCAGGGCACACCTCCCGCCTCCTCCACTGTGACACTGGATGTCACCCGTTGCTTCTTTAATGTGGCATCCTCAGACCCTTGGTAGCCTTTCGGATATGCAGACCCCTGATGGGCTGGGCGGTTTCATGGGTGTTCTTAAAGTGAATACGAAGCTCTGAGCCTCTGGATTTGCATGATTTTGTGGGTTTTCTGGGTCAAGAGAGTAGTGAACCATTTCACAGGTCACCTCTGGCCACTTACAGGAAGAGCTGACCGAATTCTTAAGTCATTCACTGACTTTGTTTCGTGTTGGAATCACCCGGGGGACTTTAAAACACTCTTTGGACCGAATTGTGTCCCGTGCCACTCAATCAGAATGTCTCAGGTGGAATTCAGGATGGTTGTAAAGCTCCTCGGCGATTCCAGTGTGCAGGGAGGTTCAGGAAGCACTGCTCAATGGAGTATCATGCAGGAGAAGAGCTGCTGACCTCACAGTGGACTTCGGGACCGTGGTGCCCTCAGCTGGGACACGGGCTTGTGGATGAAACTTCACTTAAGGTTCGGTGATGTTGGTCTGTGATTCAGCTTGACTTGGAGATAAAACTGAAACCCTATAGAAGCGTTCGTCTTTGCTGCATATAATATGAGCCTGTTTAAATTCTAAAACACTGTCAAGACTTATTTTAAAATTCACATTTGTCTCCCCGCAGTGATGTTAGCTTCACTGGAGGGCGAGTGGAAGTGTGTAACTCACCTCACAGAACCCTGCGTCCCCGATACGCCTTATCTGTGTGCCATTGAGAGATTCAGCAGTGCAGTATCAGAGTTGTGTCTGCTTGTTAATACTGTATCTAAGACTAACTTGGAAATACTTGCCATGAATATTATTCTATGTAGACGTATGCTGCATCATTACTACTGATTATTTCAGGATGGGTAATGGTGTCATCAGTTTGGTGGGCACTTTTATTAGTAAGTTTTCTTGTCTCAGGGAAGTAACTATCTTTTATTTGGTATACAGCAGTTTTATTATTTACTTTTAGAGAAATAATGAAAAAATGGATGGGCAGGTGAATAATGAAGTAGGTCAATAGAAACAAATGCCTTCCCACTTTAAAAAAAATAAAAACCAACCAACAAACTGTTGTGGGCTGGCAATTTAGCTCAGTGGTTCCGCTGCCTGCCTTGCAAGCATAAGGATCCAAGTTTGATCCCCAGTACCAAAACAAAACAAAACAAAACTATTGTGTGGCTTAAATTTAAGCATGTGGGCGGACATGTAGAGCTTTCCCCAGGGGATGAGGTTTTATGGGGAGAAACCCAAATGAAAGGAAATATGTAATAATGTGTCATCAAGAGAAAGGTGTTCTAACAGCACATCGCCTGCCATTTGGTATCTGTGTTTGCTAAAAGCCAAAAAAACTAAACCAGGAGAGTGCCCATATGGCACGTTTCTCAAACTGGAAGACTCCAAGGTAGTGCCAGGTCTCATCTTGAAAATTTGTCTTCAGTTTTGAAAAATGATAAACTCACTTGTTAACAAATTTTTTTCCTTCCACAGTGTGACCTTAGCAGTATATTACCACATAAAGAACAGGTGAGCTCTTAAAAACCTGTCTTACTCTTCCAGTTAATTTGCACAATATCACGTATAGTATTAGGTAATGACTGCAGGTGTCATAAGTTGTAGTGTGCTTTTAGTAACATACGAAGCAAATCATTTTAGGTTTTTTTGTTGTGATTAGAACTGTTGAAAAAAAAAGGTCCTAGAGTATATTTGCTTCTATCGATTATATTGATATTTACTCTTTTAAACATTAAAATTGAGAGTTAAAAGTAGATATATTTGTGTGTGCATATGTGTGTGTGGGGGAAAGTGTTAACACAGGGTTTCCTAATCCTGGACCTGTTGGTATTTTGAGTGAGGTGATTCTTCACCGTGGGGCTGTCCTATGCAGGGTAGGATGTTTAACCAGGGTCACTGTCCTGCCTGGTAGAGTCCAGGAGCTTTTCTGATACCAAAAATGTCTACTGTTGGATAAGATCACTGCTGATTATGAACCATCTACCAATATAAATAATAACTATCGTCTATAACTCTTTTACATTTTGCGTTCCTTTTTTCATTGGGTGAAAAATACATCTCTATTTACACGTATGTGTATCTTCATTTGACTGCACAGAACACAATTAGATTCTCATACTTTGTGGTTCATTTACAGTTACTTTGAAGAAACAATAAGACAACCTGATATCATGGAGATACACAGTTGGACATACATGTGTTTTTAAAAATTTCAGACAATTTCAGTGGTCCACTGCCTTCCTTTCAAGTACCAGGGCCTGAGTTCAATCCCTGGTACCACAAAAAAAAAAAAAAAATTTCAGGCAGTTATGGATAGTCTTTTAGTTTACATTAAACACTATACCCATTCGTTTCTTGAATTAAGTACAATGAGATTTTAAATGGTATCTCTGAAATTGTGACATTAATACTTGTGGTTGCATCTTGCACAATGAATAGTTCTTTTAACCATACATTTCTACATTGGTATATATTGATTTATATATCAGTTCAGATTTCTTTTTTTTTCTTTTTTTGGTACCAGGGATCGAACTTGGGACCTTGTGCTTGCAAGGCAGGCGGTGGAACCACTGAGCTAAATTCCTGGCCCCTGGTTCATATTTCTTTATAACATCCAAATCACTTTTTTGATATCATCACCAGTCTTAGCACAAAGTTTTCCTAGTTCTGGGAAGCTGTCACATGTACAGCAGAAGGTACACATTTTCCAAAATCTTGATTTTTTTTTTTAGCTTCATTGCTTAAATTTTGTCATTGGCAACAAATACTTGTTCATTTTCCTTGTAGGCCCACTTTGTTTATTTTTTATATTTGTAGTTTCATGTATAAGTGTTCTATGATAAGTAGACCATTCAGCTTACAACTAAATTACAAGTGCTTTTTTTGAACACAAACTTACTTCATTATGCAGAAATACTTTGTGTGAACTTTTCATTTATTCCTAATATTAAAAAGCAGGGCCAAGATTTATTAACATTAGTCTTTACTGCTTCATGAATGACAGGCTTTTAAACAAAACTGCGAGTGACAGTGAGAAATAGAAAGACTGCTGATGCAGTTTGGGTGCACAGTCTTTGTTTTTGGCACCGCGGATCGAACTCAGGTCTTTGTGTTTGTGAGGTAGGCAGCAGAACCACTGAGCTAAATCCCTGGCCCATAGTTTTTTTTTTTTTTTTGGGGGGGAGTCCACAGTCTTACTGCGTGCTGAGAAGTCAGGAGTTTTTCTTCCTTTTGCTTTTATAAAAGCGTTACAAGTGTCCAGCAGTGGAAAAGCCAGTAATGTCTTCATGTGTTTATAAGGACAGTTTGATCTCTGAGCCTCCTGAAAAAGTCTGGGGACTCTCCAGAGGTCACAGACCACAACAAACCACTAGTTTATGGGAGCACAGTATATTAGTTTAATGAAAACACTGGTCTTTTATAAAAAGACAGCTATACTTTTAAATTCACCTAACAGAAACAAGAAATACATAATGAAAATATAGACCAAAGCCCATTCACATTTATTACATTTCTAGACTCATTCCCCACCCCTGTTGCTTTATTAGCATGGCCCACTGGGGAGTCATTTCTTGAAGGCACCTTTAGCTGGTCATCGCAGAAAAGTCTTCACCGTACTTGGTGCACCGAATAAAAAGAAGTCTAAAGGGCAAAATCCAGGAGAATTTGTCAGACTGGTGTGTTGAGGGTGGGGCTCCTCTCCGTCCCGCTCTGCTCCTGGCAGGTGTTGTATGAAGATACAAATGAATGTGCCTGGCTGCGCTTTCTTCTTTTGTAGGGACGCAGACAGATCCCTGGGTATCTTTGATGAGCGACTGCATCCACTCACAGTAAGTGTCACCTCTTCAGAACTATGTTTTTTTTCTTCTTGTCATCGTGTTTCTTTCGTGCTATTTTCCTTTGACATTAATGGCCAGAAGTAAATCACGCTGTTCTATTAGAATTTGAATCGCATCCTTTCCCACCTCGTGTTGCAACACATCTTCTCAGGAAGGAGGGTTTCTCAGGCCTGTGATAGAGTGAGAAGGGGCTGCAGCCTTGTTATTGAGCTACGGTGAAAATGTGTGACCCCGATAACAGAACATGTATCTTTAAAAAAACAATTTTCAGTAGCATCCAACAGTATAAACATTAGTTAATAAATCTTATAATGTGAAATCTCTCAGAGAATTCGGCTAAAATGACATAAAAATGTAAAAAGTCCTTTCTCAGGCATATTAGTTATGTGGCTGCTGACTGTTGTGTGTGACTGCACCCCTACAGGCTGTGGTTGCAGACACTAATTCCATCTTTTTAGACTTTATCACAGAGAATACAGCATAGAATCAAAAAGACTTTCAGGCTAAAAATGAATGTGTGGAGGCGAAGTAGAAAGGAGTATTGATTTTCTGAGCCGGTGGCCTTCTGTGTTGCTCACTGAGAGACGCGCTGACAGTGGTTGCACCTGTGTGCACCTCAGGGGCGCAGTGGTGGTGGTGCATGAGGCGGTCACTTAAGGGGCCGCTGTGCTACACATGGGCTTCACTCACCGAGGGTCATTATGCACAGTAGAAGGTGCCAGTGTTTCTGGTTGGAGACTAAGAGACATGCAACCCAACTGGAATTATCTGAAGGAACACAGGAGTGAGAGGTGCAGACTGCTGACCTAAGAGTACGCAAAGCTTTCTTTCTTTTTTTTTTTTAAGAGTAGGAAAAATTTATTGAGGGAAAGATAGCTTTTGTCAAAGAGAGACAGAAGCGGGACCGGAAAGTGGGTTGCCCCGCAAAAGCTTTCTTCAGGGGCTTCTCACATTGCATCATTTTTCCTTTCAGAGAGAGAAGTTTCCGGAGGAATACTTTGAGTATGATCCTGAACACAAATGCATTTACAGATTTGTTGCTGTTATTTTTAATGCTGTGTGGTTACCAGCTGAATGTGCAATAATAACTTTGGTAAGATGTCATTTACCAAGCATGCTTAGAAACTGGTCTTGTACGCAGAGCAAGGTCTTTTTCTTCAAATTAGACTCCTGAAATTATCATGAGAACTCTATTAAGATAAGCCTGTCAAAGGAAAGCAAATAGACATACTCGGGCCCCATAACCATTCTTATTTAGAATGAGGTCTTCACCTTTCTCATCACAAAACAGTTGGAATTAAAGGCGGTGGGAGAGTTTCCCCCACACCTCAATACACACGCTCACTTAGCACGAACGCGTACACATGCTGTGGGCTGGGAAGGAGAGCAGTCAGGCCCTCTGAGCCAGGGAGTGGTTCTGTGCAGGTCAAGCCAGGTCCCAGGCTGTGTTCCCTGGAGGCTTCACAGCCTTCATTTCCCTGTTCCCTGGGTTATGGGTGCTATACATCCCTGCTGAGCGCTGCTGTCTGCTGGTGACGCTTCCCAGGGTGGAGGTCCAGCAGTTCCTAGAGAAGCTTTGTTAGCCCGAGGAGCTGTAGCTGTGTCCTTATTTTTTTTGTTGTTGTTGTTATTCAGGGTGAAGATTTTATCATTTCTAGTAAATGCTGTTCAAGTGGTAGAGATTGTTCTATTCCTTCCTCTGCCAAATGCATAGTGGAAAGGCATCTTCATGGCCTGTGGTGAAAGAGCACTTAGAGCAGTAGGGACCTTGTGGCATCTAGGCAGAGTTTGGGGTGGGGCCTGCGACCTGTGCTCCAAAAGAAACCTCACAGGACACTTGCATATGTAGAGCTAGATGGTGCAGGGAGGAGGGCTGGCGTGGAAGAGGCAGTGTCCTGTGGACAAGCCAAGCTTGATGTCCCTGGAGATGACAGTGGCATGTTGTCTCATCGTTTGGTTGCACTGTACCATGATGAGTCATTTCTGTACCAGAAGACTGGTGTCCTGGGACAGAGGATCGTTTTTAGGTTACTTGGGGGAACAGGTTTTGGGGAATGAAAACAGTGCAGTTTGGAGAACACTACGTGATTCAGACTACTGGCCAGACAACGTTCAGGCAGTAACTATGCTCTTAAAAGAGGGCCTTTTCCTTTTCCTTTTGATGCAGAGTTCAAATAGCATATCCAGCCTGCCCTCCATGTCCGTGAGCTCTACATCTACAATTTCTACCATTTAGGGAAAATTCATGTCCTTTTTTGCCCAGTCCTTAGTGGGTAACAGTATATATGACTTCCTTTACCTGGCATTGACATTGAATTCTGTGTTGTAGTCGCCTAGATATGCTTTGCAGCCTGTGGGAGGATGTGCGTAGCTTATGTGCAAACGCTGAGCCCTTTTACATGTGGGACTTGAGCATCTGCAGACTTCTGTCGCTCAGATCACAGCTTCCTCTATGACCTTTGCTCACCTGGTAGCTCACCCAGTTCTTTGTGGAGCAGATGTTTGATTGCGTGAGGTTGTCTCACCACCTGCGTGGAAGTTTAGGAGTCCCGGGGTACAGACTGGCAGCTCTGTTCTTCGCGTCATGAAGCCATCAGAACGGACTGAGTTGCTGATTATGTAGGCGGGAGAACAGGTTTTCATGAGTGGCGGAGATGGGAAAACATAGGCACTCAGAAGGACACTCCTGTCTACATGTGGGTTCTTTTAGAAGCCCTGAGTTTGAGGAAGCTTTATAGCTGTGAACTTTACACGTGGTGTGCCACTCTGCTCAGCTGCCGCTGGGCGGCACTGCTGTCCACCACATAGTGCTACAAAAGGGGTAACACCGTGAAAAGAAGGTAAAAACGTGCTCACTGTGAGTTGGGCACTATATTTGACCATGACATGTCTGAAACCATTCTGAAAATACTGGCTGAAACTAGATGCTATGTTGCATGTTGGAGTAACTCAGCGTTTACTGAACAGCTTTACACCAGGCCTTTGTCTGTCCCTTCATGAGTGTGGTGGTGATAACAGCACCACTCTGCTTGACGACCTTGGCTGATCCATCACCGAAATCAGACAGGAAATTCACATGAGTGGCAGTGGTGTCTGATTTCCAGCTGCAACCTGACCCCTCACTTTAGCTGAGCAGAATCTCTGTGAAAGGGCTTTCTGTTCAGACACAGGACTGTGTCGTCACAGCAGTTTCTACAGCATTAAACAGAGCTGCGGTCACAGCACAGTGCTCTCCTCTTCGCAGGTCTACTTGGAAAGGCTTCTGTCCTATGCTGAGATAGACATCTGCCCTACCAACTGGAGAAGGATTGTCCTGGGAGCCATTCTTCTTGCCTGCAAGGTCTGGCACGATGAGGCTGTGTGGAATATGGACTTCTGCCGGATCCTCAAGGATGTTACACTTGAGGACATGTGAGTTTGTAAGGGTTCAGTGAGCTTCCTAGTAATTTTCCAGTTCCCCTGCTCCTATAAGGTTTGCATTTTAAGAAATATTTTTAAATACCATACTATGCAGAAAATGGAAATGGGCACAGAACGATTACTTTTTGTCCAGCTATTTTCCATCATTAATTGATAGGTTTTTGTGGGTTATTATTTTAAAGATATGCTTAGTAAGTTGAAACTTTTCTGGTGGTTTTGCCAGACATCTTACAAGCTTACTGCCGGAACAGCATAGAACAGGGCATTCTTCATGGGTTTTAAAAAGCTGCCGGGCCTGTCCCTTCTGTAAGGGCTGCTGTGCCTGGCTTTTGAAGTAAATGTTTGGCCACTGTTAAGGTGGTAGGGCCCGTGAGCCACACACGTGGCGTGTGTCCTTGGAGTAACCAGGACATGCGCCAGGAAGGGCTCCCGCTCCCCTGCTCCCCCGAGTAGGAGAGCGAGCGGTAAGTGTGCAGATCGGTCTCACGGGCTCTCCTCCTGTGTGTGCGTGGGCAGCTGCACAGTCCCGAGCGGAGGGCGGCTCAGCGACGAGGCTGAGTCCAGGGCTCTGCCAGGGGTCCTGTGCTCACGTGGATTTTCTCCAGCCAGGATCTTTCTGCCTTCCGAAGTTTAAGATGAACATCTCGGTCAGTTTGTCACCTTAGTAGTAGCACGGTGCCCTTTGACATAGCCTCATGTGCTGCCACGCGTGGGGTTTGCCTTTCCCACACAGTGCGCTTTGTTTTTTTCTTTCTTTCTGATGAATGCTTGTTATCTGCAGAGGTTTCCCTGCAGAGAGAGGAGTGGTGGTTCTTTCGTTGGTGCCTTGCTCCCTAAGCCCTTCCTCTCAGGAGCCCCTTGAAGATGCCTGCAGGCTCTCCAGAGCCCACAAACGGTGCACATCACTTCTCTTTTGCTCACTGTGGGTGGGGCCTTGTGAGTGCTTATGGAGTGTGAGTCACACACGTGCTTTGGTGGACTCTGAAGAATGGGCTGTGAGCCCGCACCAGGCAGGAATGGGCAGGCCATAGTTCTCCCCTCTGCGCAAACACGGAGGTCCTGGGATATAGAAAGGACCAAAAGTAGCTCTGCCTTGCTGGAACATGAGTGTCTTCTTCCCGTTGGGTAGCCTTCCTAGGGCTCAAAACAGAATTCACAGCACTCCTAGAAGCTCCGAATGACATTTTTGCAGGTCTCCCACTTGACTGAAATCGTCCTGTATTTGTTTTGCTGTGTTCTTCCTCCCCATAAATGAGCTGGAAAGGCAGTACTTGGACCTGCTTGAATTTAATGTTAATGTGTCTGCCAGTGTGTATGCCAAATACTACTTTGACCTCCGCTCTTTAGCAGATGAAAACAACATGTATTTTGTGTTTGCACCTCTCACCAAAGAGCGAGCACAGGACCTAGAGGTAAGGCTGTGCTTGTGCTAAGTGGGGCTTTCTGTGAGCACAGGGTCAGCACCTGTGACTGTATCATAGTAAGCAGTGACTGGGGAATGGAAAGCGTCCCCAGGAACACACACAAGAGTTCACTAACCCTTCGTGTCAGTCCTGTTTCTCACTTCTTTTATGGTTCACGTAGATATCCTCATTATTCTTAAAAAGTGGATATTATCTCCTTTCTGACCATAATCCAGAATACTTTAACCAGAAGTAATCTGTTCAGTGGTTTGAACCTCTGCCTTTCTCCCTGGCCATATATGATTAACTCCTGTGGTTGTTTCCCTTATTATACCTACAAATACAGGTCACTTAACCTTTGTGCCTGTCTTTTACTCAGGTTGCAGATTCCTGTCGGAGTTCAGCTATTAGTTCAAACCTGTGAGTTCATTAGGGAGAGCCTTGGTGGCTAACGTGAGAATCCTGCACTTTGGATGTGGGATGTGGGGTATGTGTGTGTTTCAAATACTGGAGGTTGGAAATGGTTACATGGAAGTGGTAGCTCACAAGGGGCAAAGTGATATACATGGTTTATGACTTTAGGTGAGCATACACCAAAGTAATCCACACCTGAAATGGATGTGTACATTCAAACAGCACTTTCTGTGTGCCTTGGTAGCATGGTAAGTTCCCAGCTTACGAAGGTTCAAGTTGCCAACTTTGACAGATATGAACGGATCTTGCATTTGGGTTTTTTTTTTTAATGCTTTGCATTGTAAATTCGTGTCAGAGGTGTGGAAGACTCACTCTGTCAGACTTATGGACGAATCTGACTTACGAATGTTCCCGCGGAATGGAACTGGGGAGCAGCCTCTGATGCTTTAGTTGTGAGACCTGTCCTGCCCTGCAGTAGAGCTCACACCTCCTCCGTGGAAGTTGCTTAAGAGTTTGTAATAACTAAGGAGGGTCAGGTAGTGGTGGAATAGCTGAGCCAGGTGTAGGTTTATCATTGTAACGAACACTTGCACAGGTGACAGATGCTGCTGTTAGGAGCCTGGCATATCACAAAACCTTTGACGTCTTTGCAAAGTCCATTTGTGGACTGTAGCTGAACAGACTTCCCTCTCCAGGCTATCAGAGCATCACCCTTAAGACGTTAGTGAACTGGCAGGAAGTAGCATCCTCACAACCTGGCATGCAGGCCTCAGCCAGAGCAGCGGTGGCCACGGAGTGGCTGAGGAGCCCTCAGTGTGACTGAACATCAGTCGTAGGACTTTGTTTCTTTAAAATCTTCCCCCTGTGTTCTGTTTGATTGACTTTCCCAGGCCATGTCACGATCGTGTGAAGACAAAGACTTGTGCAGAGCTGCTATGAGAAGATCTTCCAGCGATGGCAATTTCACCGGCATTGGACTGACCAATGCCGTCCTGTCCTAAGAGGGAGAAATGGGGGCCATGACATCACGGACCCCTCACGTGCAAAGCTGGAGAAGTTCTGTCCCTCTTGCTAGAACAACAAGAACAAGAAGAACAATCACAGTCACAGAAACAGCAAAGTTAGTATTTTCCCCACAGCCCCTCCCGGACAGTGACAGCCGCGCTGCACGGAAGGAGCGGCATCGTCAAAGCAGCGACTCACTTCAGTCCTCACCGGTGTGAGCAGAACTGCCAGGGCTGCAAAGCACAAGCTCCTGGCTCACACAGGCCTTTGCTTACTTCACCGGCCAATGCTCGTGAGCCCTGTGGGGCTTTTGAATTGAGTTTAAATTTAAACTAATTTAAGATTTTAATTATTTTTAAAATCAGATTTAAAACACTACCCATATAATTGTATGTTTTTCTACTTGCCCCTTCCCATGTTGCTGCGTATGCCTTTAGGATCGATACAGTATTACTATTAAAATGTGGGGATCTTTTTCATCGCCCGGTTCCGGGAATGAAACCCAGGGTATTAGCCATGTCCTCCTAGCAGATTCTCTCCCACTGACTCCCCCACCAGCCCCCAAATGGGAGTGTTGTGCAGGGACACCGCTGAGGAATAGGCTGTAGAACTGTCGAGGGCTGAAGGCTCTTCCGCCTGTGCTCTCGTCGAGTTGCTAGTCATAATTGTCAGTCACTTTAAACCCAGGAGCTGGCGGAGGACACCTGCCACTCATGTCTTTTGCAAGCATGACTTAGTAGCGTTGTGACATGTTTGTGGTCCTAAAGAGAAATCATCGGTTTTTGACTCTTTCTATGAAGTCCATGCTGCATCTCATGAACCATGAGTGGTGACTCATTTTCTGATGAACATCCTCTTGTTAAGTAAATATATTAGAAGGTATTTTCGTGGTACATCCCAACACGAGGGCCAGTGATCATAGCCAGTAGTAAGATTCAGGGTGTCCCAAAGTGTCAGCGCAGTTCTAAGCCACAGACTAATATGCCTGTGCCTTCCAGGGCGCTGCAGCAGGTGCAAAGGCTGCAAGCTTTTACCAAAGAGTATGTGAAAGTTTCAGTTTTGCAAATTTGGAATATTAAGCTTTTATTCTTAATGTTTTCTAGTCTCTCAAAGAGATTAGGAGGAATTGGAACAAAAAATTACAATTAAAAGCTTAATATTATACATTTACAAAATTAAATGGTGATATTTTAGATGATATTTTATAACATTGCAGCTTCTCTACTTCTCCTGGCATCAACGCTTAAAATTACACCAAGATTTTTGGATGCTTCGTATTGCACAGTTTCCCTCATGTGTTTAAATAGTTCTTTGAGGGCCGAACAGTATCTGCTTTGATTGCTTAGATTTTTCTCTAGGTTTGGTGAAGGAAGAATTTTAGGACCAGCGTTAATTCACATGTAATAAAAAGGAAATGGACCCCAGTAGCAGCAAGTGATACAAAAGTTCCTTCTAAAGTCCAGCCTGCATTTCAGGTCGCCCCATTTCAAGTCCTCCTATTTAAGAGGGACTTACCTGAACCTTAGGAGCATTGCTGAAGGCTTCGAAGGGCAGAGACGAATTTGAGGAGATTTACAACAATGTTCCCTAAATTTGAAATATTAAAAAATCAGTGCTCTTGCCATGTGAAATCGATTTTTCTGCCTTTTCAAATGTAACCCTAGGAATCTTGCCTGTAATGAAGCCCTCGTGGGCTAGGAATACTTTCCCCCAGTGTTGCACTGCCTCACACAACTGCATGCTGCAGTTTCCACCATTTTGCACAAGAGATGTAGGTGACACTCAATGGCACAGAAGTACCACAAGCTACCACTGCTAAAGAAGTGTTTATGGAATTTCAAGCTGGAAGATTTGAGTGTTATTTTGAAAAAAATGCTACAACTTAAAGTGGGGTTTCATCCCCAAGTGTATATTTTTAAAATAAACTATATTTAAAAAATAAACTATTTTGATTAAAATACAGCTGGAATGTTTGTTACCACTTCTCTATTCACAACATTATATCACTCCAGAATTTCAACGTTTTGTGTTCTTCCTGGTGGTTTTTAAGCATTCTTGTGCTGACTCCAATAAAGCTGACTTGAATCAGGGCTTCTGGTTAGGTGTGGTAATTAATAATTACCATTTTTTGCTTAGCCTCCTTTTCCACCTGAATGTATTGTAGATAGTGTGTTTAAGAGAGGAGAGCACTTGAGAAGATAAGCTCGGGTAACATACTGAAGAGGCATCAGGGACAGGACTCATATGGAATTAGAACATCATGTGTTCGCAGTTTGCAGGCAGCAATGGTAAAGAAATAAAGGTATAGGAACTGAAGTTGCTGTATAGCAGTCACCTGAAACAAGCCACACAGTCTGACATACTGTTCTCAGGTGTATATTTCATTAGCCACAAGGTTTCTTTCGTATGGAAGCCTCACCACTCAGCTTCCGAGTTTGTAATCTGTAGCGTTGCTGTATGTCCATTCACTTGTGATCTATATCTACAGCTAAATCCGAGTGACCAGTCACTTTGATTTTGCTACATTGTTGGTTGAGCTAAATAGGCTGATTTGATTTATAAGGAAAAAATATAGAATGAGTATGGTTTTCACCCTATATCAGTTTCTCAGAAGAAAAATTCATGAATAATCAAAAATTAATTTCAGGCCAGGGATTTAGCTCAGTGCTTGCAAGGTGCTCGGTCCTGAGTTTGACCCCTGGTTACCGCCAAAAAAAAAACCAAAAGAAAAAGAAAAAAAAAACAAAACTTAGGAGGGGTTCATTGGATACAAATCTGTAACTTCAAGAACAAGCTAGAAGAATAAATAGAATGACTAAAAAATTGCTCTTCTCTCTTGGCCTTGCCCGAAGAAGGTTGTATAGTCATTCTGGAAGATGGGAGATTGGGCCACAGTATTAAAATTGGTAAGTTCTCTGGCACACCGTGAGGCGTGGGAACTGGTGGCTGGGAGGGCAGTCGATCTCAGGTTTCCACACATAGGAAAGGTACTGCTGAAACCCAGCACTGAGCTCTGGGTTCCCCACTGCCGTGCTGGGGATTGAACCTTTGCACTCAGCTACATCCCCAGTCTCTCTTTTTTTTTTCTTCTGAGACAGGTTCTCACTAAGCTAAGTTGCCCATTGTGGGCTCCAGATTGTGATCCTACTCCCTCATGAGTCCTGGTTTTAAAACAGGTGAACTTCTTGCTTAGTTTCCTACATCTTGTTTTTTGCTTAAAAAACAAGTAAAAGCCTGTTACTCAGGCAGCAGTTCAATCTTCATTTTGTGTTCAAGTCAGGCAGTTTGGCAGTGGTGTGCAGCTAAGCATAACTATCTTCCACCATCCAGCCTGTCTTGTAGCCGTGTTATGACGATGGCTGACTCTTCCCTCCGGCAGAAGGTGCCTTCTTGCATGTGATGCTACTCGGTGCACAGAAATATCCCAGGTAAGCGCTAGTTGCTGTCCTGTATCTGTAGGTTGCATCCTGAATCTATGAACATGTCAAACATTAGATTAAAGTTTAACCTCAGGACCTCTAAGGTTGGAATTGTGTCACAAAATACCAGTAATCCAGGAGCCCTCAGTAGGTCCTGCTCCCTAGAACAGAATGATCTGCTTGGCTTCTAAGCTTTTAATGAAGTAGTTTACATGAGATTGTCAAGCAAGAAAACTCCTTTCTGTGAGATAAAGGTTAAGAATATTAATTTGTGGTATAGGATCTCTAAGGTGAAAGGAGGACAACCTGGAAAGTGAACATAGAAAAATTAAAAAGACTGAACTCTGAATCTGATTGGAAAGAACACGCTGAAAAGAGCAGGGTCAGGTCAGTTTATTATTATTATAAACTCCTGTGAGCGCCAAGCACTGTGACTGTGAGCAGGGCAATTCGGTGACAGTCCCAGAACCACAGACCTCGGTAAGAGGTCGTATCTGCCTCAGAAGCCTCCCGTGCATACCCTGTGAATCACCTTTGGGCAGGGTATTGCCGCTGCTTCTCCTGTGTCAAAACCCACAGCTCTTGCCTGTATCCCAGGTGCTGACTTGCCCTCAGTGTGACAAGCGACTCCCACTCATGACCTGCTGAGGTCCCTTGGGCCTCTTCACCCTGTGACCTCCGCCTACTGCCCACCATGACTGCTTCATGCTGGATTCTGTGACTCACTTCCAAAGCATTAGCACCAGCTTCAAGGAATTGACAGTCTGTTTTGCAGAGCTGTAGATTGAACCCAGGACCTACAATCTCAGCTGCATCCGCAGTTTTTGATTACTGCCTGCCTTTAAAGACAGGGTCTCACCACAGAACTTGCAGTCCCCCTGTGTCAGTGCCGGCTTACAGTATGGGCACACGAGAGCTGTGTGGAATCCTGACAACTTTTAAAAAACTTTGCAGTGATTTTAGATTTACAGAAAATGTTTCCAAAATGAAGAGTTTATCATCAGGACAAGAATGCTGGTGAGGTCATTAGGGAGAGGGGAGGAACCTCTCTACACTGGTGGGAATGTAACGCAGCACGACTGCTGGAGATCAACGTGGAGATTCCTTAGCAATCTGCAAATACAAGTCCCACCCGAGAGCATTTTCACGAGGCGTCGTACAGCAGTGACACCTGCACACCCTCGATTATAGCCGCCCCGCTCATGGTGTCTCTGGTATCGGGAAACAGCCTAGATCCCCTCAACAGGCCAGCAGATAATGAAGATGTGATTGAGATGGGCTGGTGGATGGACAGGATGGAGCTAGAGATGTTATTGGGCCTAAAGAAGGAAATGTTCATTTGCACGAGAATGGATGAGATTGGAGACCAGAATGTTACAGGAAATGTGCCAGGCACAGACAGGTTACACGAGCAGTCGTTAAAGGACGGAAAATGTAGACTTGTTAGAAACGTGGGAGGGAACCTGGGGGACAAGGGGGAGTGGGAAGGGGCAAAAAACCTGAAGACGTGAGCTATTCGTGTACCAAGCACCAAAAGGAATGCAACTGCTGTATACAGACACCTGAATTTTTTCCCCATTAAGTTTATTGGTACATTTAAAGCACATGATAATTACATTTATCATTTGGATCGTGTACCTTTACATGATGTGTCGTGGTTCTCATTTTTTCCCCAGACCCTCCTGCCCTCCCTTCACCCCTTTCACCCTTCCCTATTTATAAAGACTTTGTTTCCATTTTTCCCTTTTTTCCCATTTTTTCTTTTCCCTTATTTCCTTTCCCCTCCCCTTCCCACTTCTCCTTTAGCCATTTTCTACCTATTTCGCACTCTCAGTGATACCATTTGAACCTTATTTACACTTTTAGTTTTTCGCACCAAAGAAACTATTTGGTATTTACTCAAGCGTGATAGACACCTGAATTTAAGACTTTATTAAGATAAATAAAAAGCTCCCTGGGCTCCAGAGGTACTAGTTCAGTATCGGGGCTGAAGCTCAGAAATCCCCATTTGCAGAGAAACCCAAGTGCCTCTCATTGAGATGTAAAGCCCTCACCCCTCAGTTCCCTTTCCATCCTCTGAACAGCTGCACCTCCTTGCTTCCCTGACCTTAATCTACCTTTGTCAGATCGAATCCTTCAGGTCTTCAGCAGGAGTACGTGGCTCTGTCCTGTGTCACTGGCAGGGGCCTAGAAAAGAATCCCAGATCCTCACTGTGCTCAGGGGACTCTAATAATAAAAATACACAGGGTGTGGAGGTGCACGTTAACCCTAGCACTCAGGGAGGCTGAGGCAGGAGGATCCTATGTTAGTCCTAATCTTTACCAGGTCTCCACGGCAGGAGTGCAGCTCTAGTCAAGCCTTCCTGCCCAGGGCTCCAGCTTCGGAGGCTGGCCACAAGGTGTCAGCACTGTCCTGCCTGTGGTCCAGCTGTGCTTCTCCCCTGTCAGCAATGGGGAATCAACTGGGCAGGGAAGATGCAGCCCTGCTGCTTTGCTGCAGACTGGGGTGCTGCCCTCCCCGCGCGATCCTGCCCCCCAGGCCGGGGACAGCGGCTGCCCTCCCCGCAATCGCGCACAGGGCTGTAAACTAGCCTGGAAAGTTCCTGGCTCTTCCCTCGCAGACTGCCAACCTCAGCCAGCAATGCCTGGGTTCTGAGCCAGCATCAGCTCCGTCCACTGCCCTTACTGCCCAGCATCCACTGTCCACCGCTTGCATCTCATCTCCTGGGCAAGGAATCCCTGAGGTTCTTCAGGCATTTGAACTCCTTCTGGGCCTCTGGAGAGGAGCCCCTGCCTTCTGAGCTGCTTGACTTGTCCATGGCCTGAGGCCCTCAAGCCAGAGTTCCTAGCCTCACACAGTGACACAGTTAAGAGCTGCAAGAGCTTAGGGACCGCTTCACCAGTGTCACTGAGAAGATGCCCTTCCGGGAGCAGCAGAGCGTGGCTTTGCCTGGGAAGTTTGGCCAGCCCCAGACACCTGTGCCACCAGGAGCAGCACCTCGGTGCGTTGAAGGTCCCAGTGCTCTGACCTCTCCACCCTTCTCCGTGCAGCAGCTCATAAGACACATGTGGCAGGTTTTCTCCCCATACCTGAAGGACAGGAATGTCTTTATAAGAATAACCTTCTCTCTGAAGATCTAGGATCACAGAGAAGAACCTGAACAAGGAGCCCTTGGTAAAATCCCCATCTATCACCATAAGATCACAGCCCCATTTGTTCTCTTGTATTTCCCTGTAACTGTGCAATTCTTTAAATCCAGCATAAAAACTCACAGGGTACCCAGGCATGGTGGCACACACCCATAATCCTAGCTCTTCAGAGGCTCAGGTAGGAATATCACAAGTCCGAGCCCAACCTGGGCAGTTTGGTGAGACCTTGTCTCAAAATGAAATGTAAAGCACTGGGGATGTGGCTTAGTGCTGGAGAGCTGGGGGTTCAACCCCCAGTACAGTAAAAC